CATTAACAAGCTTACATCATAGCTTTATAGCGTCTTTTTACGACTTTACAGAATTTATTTTAATAAAACTATTGTACTGGAATAGTGTTATAAATACTTACACATACTTTAGTGTGCATTGTAATACTCTGTTGATATAAATTTACGTACTTCTAAAGTCAATTTGTATGAACATCTTGGAAATTCGCACTACGGCATCCGATTTAATTTTATCACGAAGCACTAGTCGACATTCAATTCATGTTAACCCTTTTCATAAGTGATGTCAGATGATTTTACAAGTATCAGTTGATTATAACAAAACATTGAAAGCTCTTGTTTAAATTTTTTGCAATTAGCCGTTATAACAAACTAAACCGCAAAACGTGGTATCAATAAAATGAAACTGTAGAATTATAATAAATAAACATTTTAAATTGAAATTAATGATCCCATGTAAAATAAAATCAGCAAGTAATTTGTAAGTTATATCGCAGTCCCCGACGAACACTATGGTAGGTAATCGCTATTACGATAGAATCGGGTTTATTAGATATTCGTTATCTACACACCCTATTACAATCATTGAGTTTTTTTTATGATCGGGCGATGAATACTTTCGGATTTATCCATTCAATAATGATCTTTATGTTTTTGTTCAACGTATAACATAAGTGAAAAATTTACACGATCAATAACGCAAAAACCTATTACCAAATCTCAAAAGTCAACATTTTAGAGTAAGCGGCTATTACCATATTGTTCGAGGGAAAAATGACAGAATCAGAATCAGAATTTATACATAGGTACCGAAATGGTTATAACACCTAAAAATGATCATCGAATAAGCATGTAATTTATGTTTACCGTAATATTAAAGTCAGTTATATCATCGAATACGATTGCAATGTCATTTTACGAATATAAAGTATATTCATATTTACCATGGAACAATATCATAATGAACGATTACTACAGCAACACCGATTTGTGATTACAGTCGAACACTATCGTAAAGTTGGTTTGCGTTAATTTTTTCCATAGCTTATTTCAGTAATGGACATTTTCACAATTTTCTTACTGATAAAGAAAATTTATGATAAAAATCTAGTAAAAATCTAGTGCAAAAAAATATTCCCTTATTTTTGATAAAAGAATCTTCTTTTTAGTCTTGATAGTATTCAAGATATTCAGTTTTTATTTGCTCCTGTAAAATTGTTATTTTCCTATTACGATTTTGTTCGTCGGGGACTGCGATATGTAATCTTGAATTAAACATTATAATAATTATTTAATTTTAATTGTTATTCACCTTGAATTATGTACGGTAAAGACTATACCCTGTAATTAAAACTAGCAATTAGCTGAGCTGAATACGAAAATAATAATTATTGTAATTATGTTATGTGTTACTCATGTTACAAATATAAATACATATAGAAAGGAAAATTATGTTACAATTTAAAGAAAAATAAAAATGGCCTAAATCTCCTTATTGTTAAATGTATAATTAACACAAAAAAATATATAAGGTGGTTTATTTTTAGTGTACCTACTGGATCATATAAATAACCTAATATTATATTTATACAGTCTGCAGTAGTAGGTACTCTACTTTATTTCCATAATACAATTTTTTTTCCGAATGTACAAATCAAATTATTTATTTCTACTGATTGCAGTTAAAACTACAAAGATAATTCCAAACTAAAATATTTGTTTACTACCTGATGAACAAATCCTTAGTTATAATAAGTATTATAAATATTGATGGAAAAGAAAAACAGATGTGTGTATAAATAACCTAAAGTATTAGTGGTATTATTTTAAAATGAAGAAGCTAATAAAAGTGTGGCAAGAAACAAGCAACCCACGCCCACAACACGCAGACGTGCTAATCCGACCATCTGTTAACATTGAAACAACCCGCTGAAACAAAGGCCGGCCCGACCGTTTTAATGAACCCAGATTATGAAGGTGTTAAACCTCCGCCGCCGCTCTTTCAACTCCCAAATTATGACTTTTGAACGAAGCCGGCGCGCGCGCCTCTTCACGGGGTCACATTTCGGCAATCGCCAAAGTTTCTCTCGCCTTCTCCCACGTACAACTCGTCCATAAACCTCTCGCCTTACTTTGAACATAAAATCCCTCATAGTTTTGCTTTACTGCTCTTCTACAATGAAAACAACCCAAATGAACTTTACGACCACGCCGTAAAGTTTTAAATCGCATTCGTTCATTTCGTATTTTTGATTTGTATTTAGCCTCATACGTTATGATCAGGACTCTGACAAAAAAGACTAAATAAATCTGTCCCTGTCTCGCGAGCCAGCCGGAGAATTTGAGCAATGTAAATCATTTTATTACAATGCGTTGTTTTTTATTTGTCGCAGCCTTTGTGCTTAGAGAACTTGCCTCGTGCTTTTAATTATTCCACACACGATTTATCATTATAAATAAAACAAATTAGTACAAAAAGAGAAAACCAAAATAAAATATATCTATAAATCTGCCTTTCGCTTAAGTTTTTTAATAAAGCTTTTACAATAAAATAATATTCTGCAAAGTGATTTTTCTAGCAAACTTAATTTAATTGCACTTATAGTAAATGAAAATTTAGACACTAGTATTGTTATAATGGTATTCGATTAGTGACCAACAGATCTATTTAAGCTCTTCAACTCTTCCAAGGCCGACGCTAATTATTTTTCAATAAATTGTACATTTTTTTTACAAATGAAGTTTCGTTTATTACAAATCCGTACGATTTTTTTCGTACTTATTAGTTGACAGTCTTTGTGTCCGACTTCTAATGCAATCCTATGCGTGTCACATTAAACGCGTGCTTTCGCCGTGCGCGCCATAAATCCAGATCGCGACACCAAAATATTGAATGGTGCCAAAATGTCAACCAAACAGCAAAGACACCGACAAAGGAGCCGCCGCGCTGGGTGTTCCTTATTCCGCGCCACGCTGAGCCCCTATTTTTTCATCTCATTCAATTTTGACTTCTTTCAAAAAGCTATTAATATAAGCTGCATTTTTTTAAAACAGTTTTAAGGGCAAAGCCTTGTACTGTTGTGGCCGTTTTTTAATCTGTTTCCGTAGGATACCGCTACCGATTTATAAATGAGATCGACCCACAAGCCCGGTCGTTCTTGATTCAGGCGAATTAAAACATGATGTGGGTTTACACAAAAACACTGTTAATAAATAAAATGAGTTTTAAAGAAAGAGATGAAGACAAATTACAGTAATACAATCCCCTATAAATTATAAAACCGCCTCAGGAGTGACAGTTTATCTTGCTCTATTTAATCGTGTTCTAGATATTAGCTAGGAATGTGTAGATTACAACTACTTACTGTAGTCCACACATACCGACTATTATAGTGGTTGCAACTTCATTCAAGTTTCTGATTGAAATTCTACACAAACTTAATGTATAAAAGTTCTAATTACTAATTATAACTTGCAACCTTTAACTCAAAACTGCTTATATACAAAATAGCACATGATAGAAACTAGCACCTGTAATAGAAAAACTACTGATTTTTATTTGCTGACACTGTAAATTGATATAGTCATAATCTATATTAAATAGAAAATTTATAATCAAATATAAAAATGTTCAAACGATTTCGGAAGCTACCAATAAAACCTGCTAAATATGTCTTATAATAATTATATATATCACAGAAAATATCTTAAAATATACAAACGTTGCATGTTGTGGGTACGCCCTAATTATCAGCCAAGAATGGCAATAATGTCATTCACAAATGCTACCCAAATGCTGATGGTTAACGTTTACTACACTTTGTAATAATTACACTTAGATCCTATTACCACAATGTTTGAGGGTTGCGTACTACGATAGCATCATTATGTCTCTGAGAAATACTTTCAAATAGCTTTGATATTATATCTTTGACTTAAACATGGTTAATTTCGAACTGCAAGTAGATGAAATTACATGTTAATGTGTAGGAGTCAACCCTGACCAAGACCTTAGATGCCGAAAGAGAGAAATAGATGATATTTAGATTACGCTTGCACTACATATAAAAAAAAGTGAATTTTCTAGAAAATGAAAATATAAATCGGTGAAACTGTGTACCGCAAGCATTATTCAGAGTTCCTGAGTGTGGTCGATGGATGATGAATGAGGCAGGTAACGGGATCCTCCTAGGATCAAATTCTGTTGGTAGTTGAGATAGAGTGCACAAGATGCTAAACTTTACATGACATTGACTTATTTTATACTAGTGTACAAAAAAGAATAAAGTATCGCTCATTATAAGCAATATTTTCTTCAAGGGCTGAAAAATGTACAACCAAGAGTCAATGTTGCACATCGCGGGTTTATCAATTTCCTGCGAATAGATATCCGAGTTGCAAACACCATCCTACTTAAAAACTGTCACTTGTAATTTAAAATTATTAATTCGTAATTTATAATTCGTAGTTTAAATCATTGAAACAAAAAAAAATAACAGACTCAATTAAACATCGTAGTCATATTACGAGTATACTGTAGACTACTGTTAAAAACTTGCATTTACAGATAATTTTAACAAGGGTAATAAAGTAATCCACATTAAAAAAGTAACTAGTGTATCTGGGTAATATAAAGTATCTCACTGATTAATTAAGGAAATGAAAGTGTTTATGTCACGGGACAGTGTTCGTTTTATACGACCATCCACCAGTGCACACGAAATGTATTTTGACGTTTGCTTTTTCATTGCGACTTCAATCTATCAGCAGTAATGTTATTTTAATTTTAATAAAGCACATATATGTCATATTGTCTATAAAGGGGAAAATAACGAAAATTAAAGTTAGATAAATGTTTTATTTCAAATTCTTTTTTATCATAAAACTGGCGGAATATAATGATATTCCGCCAGTTTTATGATGAAAATATTTGAAAGATTTTCAATCGGTTAGACAAATTCCACGAGCAATGTACTTCTAGGTATATGTGAAATGTAAAAACGTATTTTTATTTTTTCTAGGCCGAGGTTCTGACTCATCAGACATTGATTCGGAACCGGGCTTAACACTAAAGAGGAAGCAACGTCGATCGCGCACCACATTTACGGGCGAGCAATTAGATGCATTGGAGAGAGCTTTTCATCGCACGCAGTATCCCGATGTGTATACTCGGGAAGAACTAGCCCTGCAGACGGGTCTTACTGAAGCAAGAATACAGGTGAGGTCAGATGTATAGTTACATCCAGATAATATTAATTTTATACATTGGCTCCTACACATTATTTAAAACATTTTGTAAGATAAGCGATTGCATGTGTCTTCTGCAGTTATTAATTACTTTACTATTACATTAAATTGGTGTATTCCACTATTGGTTTTATTATTTTATAAACTTCCTCCAAAAATATTTCAAAGAACGTAGTTAAAGAAGATACCATTCTGATTTCATTCACTTTAATAAAACTGAACTTAATTCTTTAAATACTTATAAGTTTTATACATCCCTGTAATCTGACATCAATTGATTTCATATCAGAGCAATTTACTTTATGCATTATTCTAACAGGTAATAGGTAAAATTGTAAGTTCTTTCACACCGCACAAAAGAATGCCAAACACTATTACCTTTATAAAAGTCGTCAGTAAGTAAGGCAGGAAAAGGACCTCGTCGTTCCATTAAAAGTCACGCGTGTTATAGACACTATTTCGATGCCTTAATCCTGAATCCTTATTCTTAGCATCCGCGGAGATACATAATAACGTAATGCTTAACATCAAATACGACGTATACTTGTTTTGTAACTTAGTTCTATAAAGACAAAAAACTCATAATTACATTTTTTCATTCGTAAGTAAGTTTCGCTAATATTTTATGAAAACACTGCAACACATTAATTTCAGGTGTGGTTCTCAAATCGACGAGCTCGCCTACGAAAGCACACTGGTTCAAATACAAGTCCTGGAATTGCTGGCTATTCAGCCTTACCGATGCCACAAATACCTTGTCCCTATCCTGCTGGAGAAATACCATCTTTGTCTCAACACCATTCGCAACATCCAGAGTCCTGGCATCATCAAAAATATGCCAATTACAATCAACTTATGGCCCAGTCACAGCACCTGAACCAGGCCTTCCAAAACGCTGCTTTTCCTAGTACCTCTGGTTCTACATTTAGCCATTTAGTTGCTGGAGCGAATGGTCCGCCGCATAGTCAAGTACTAGACACAGGTATTCCAAGAAACGATTATGCTCGGTACCCCAACAGTGACATTTATAATAAACCCATTAATTATTTATCAAAGGAGGCCCAGGGCGATGACAAATTGAATACTGAAGATGTAATTGAGTCAAGAGAGGGTACATTTGAAAAGCCCGCTGGAGATGATTACGGCAAATCGTTACCAAATAATGAATACTCTAAAGTTCCTGCTGATTACTCAAAAGTCACATCGGATCCGACTGCTGCGACTGCAAACTGGAGTCCGTCTCACAACTCATTAAATATGAGTTTAGCAGGTTTATCTAGTGAATACAAATATATGAACGATCCTTATTCGTTTTCTAATGTGCCTGACCCGCTTTCACAACATAATTACCCCAATCCACCAAATACTGCAAACAAATATTGGATTTGACGTAGTTATTTAGTTTTTGTACATATTATGTTTTAGTAAATAAATGTTAATTTTATTTAAATTATATATTAGTGAAATTATTGTCATAAGAAACGTTTGTGAGAAAATACCTCTGTTTTGCATTCCAATTAATTATACCTATAATAAAACCAAACATTTGTAAATCGTTACTAAGAAAGTCATTAGATAATAAAGGTCCAACTATTAATTTGAGATTTTATTAAGTGTGGTTCATCTCACACGGCTTCACTTTAATGTATTGTTATTAGTTTTTAGAGTCTGTACTCTGTATGTCTTTACATTGTATAAAATAAAGTCGTTTTTTTTCTTGTAGCTTGAAATCGTTTTAACTACATAACGGATTTTAATGCGGTTTTCACCAATATAGAGAATGATTCAAGAGGTGGCTTCATATACATATGAAGCCACCTCTATCTAATTTTGTATATATTTCTACAAATCTAATTTTGTATACTATGCATGTATTATACATAATACATGCATAGTATACAAAATTAGATTTGTAACGTGAACTCGTAAAAACATGTTTTTACATATATATGTTAATTATTCCTACTATTATTCCTTTTCCAAATCAATACTTTATATACGTTGTGCATTTAAAGTAGATCAAAATTCCCTTTTAACAGTATTAGCATCACTAAAACGAATATTTTAGGAGATATCACAGATTTAAAATGTGTCGAGCCGTATCTAAGTCCCGGGTGGCGGCAGCGTCTTGTAAATATTGTATATAAAGATGTTCAGTCTTATCATGATAATAGTATAATTAAGTACTCCACAGTGACCCCACTTTAATAGTAATAGAAGAATCTACCTTACATCCATGATAAGCCAAAGCGGATCGATAGTTAAATAATAATAAACACAGGTTGAAATGCAAAAAAATATATTAATTTATCTTAAATTAATTTACATCAATTCCTAAAGTAGTTACCAATCTAATACTGTTGTGTTACTTCTAATATGGAAGCACCTACTTCTTCAGGGACAAAAGGAGTGTTTGTGTTCTGTGCTGCTTGTGGTACTTCTGTTATCACAATAACATTGCCGGTGCCAATTAAACTCGCATCATTTGCCACAGTTTCTGATTCAGGTGCTAATGTAACGTCATTCGATACAGTTATGTCACTTGCAGAAGTGGCTGTAAATGATGCAACATTATCGGTACTTACTGAGGTTAAGTCAGGTTCTACGCTAGCAGGTGTCTCTACAGCTAAAGGTTTAGAATGGAATGGGTCTGTTGTTACAGCATCAACAACATTAACAGAGGATACTGAAGTTGATTCTCCATTATCTGTCACAATATTTACTGTAGAGGACGAAAGTACCCCATTCACATCTAAAACGTTATCGACTGTTGGTTGGGAAATAACTGCAACAGGCACTTCATTTTCCGATAGAGAAGTTTGAGTTTCTATTGAGACGGGCGTATTAGCTACTTCTTCAGGTTGGGCAACTGATACATCTTTGTTAACTGTAGTACTATTTACTACAATTGTTTCATTGGTAATTACTTTAGGACCGGCAGTTTCAGTTACACTGATAACAACATCTGAATATGGTGCTTCAGATATATTCGCAACTTCTTCAACCGTTACTATACTAGTCGCAGCAGCAGGTTCTTGACTGGTGGGAAGTGTGTCACTGCTTACAGAAAGCCCTGAAGTGGTAGGAGGAGCAATAGTGGAGTCAGTCGTCTCAGCCATATTCACATCAGTGTTTGATGCGGCAGCCTCTAATTTATCTACATTAACCTGTGCTGTTGCGACAGGGGTTTCAGATGGAGGACCATTATCATCATTAACTGGAACTGCCACCACAGGGGTTTCAGATGGAGGACCATTAGCTTCAATGACCTGAACTGCTTCTACAGGGGTTTTAGATGGAAGACTATTAGCTTCAGTGACCTGAACTGCCTCGACAGGGGTTTCAGATGGAATATTAATAACTTCAGTGACCTGAACTGCCTCTGCAGGAGTTTCAGATGGAAGACTGTTAGCTTCAGAAACCTGTAATGAATCGACAGGGGTTTCGGAAGGAAGACCATTAGCTTCAATGACCTGAACTGCTTCTACAGGGGTTTTAGATGGAAGACTATTAGCTTCAGTGACCTGAACTACTTCTACAGGGGTTTCAGATGGAAGACCATTAGCTTCAGTGACCTGTACTGCCACCACAGGGGTTTCAGATGCAAGACCACTAGCTTCAGTGACCTGAACTGCCTCGACAGGGGTTTCAGATGGAATATTAATAACTTCAGTGACCTGAACTGCCTCTGCAGGAGTTTCAGATGGAAGACTGTTAGCTTCAGAAACCTGTAATGAATCGACAGGGGTTTCGGAAGGAAGACCATTAGCTTCAATGACCTGAACTGCTTCTACAGGGGTTTTAGATGGAAGACTATTAGCTTCAGTGACCTGAACTACTTCTACAGGGGTTTCAGATGGAAGACCATTAGCTTCAGTGACCTGTACTGCCACCACAGGGGTTTCAGATGCAAGACCACTAGCTTCAGTGACCTGAACTGCCTCGACAGGGGTTTCAGATGGAATATTAATAACTTCAGTGACCTGAACTGCCTCTGCAGGAGTTTCAGATGGAAGACTATTAGCATCATTAACTTCAACTGCCACAATATGGGTTTCAGATGGAGGACCATTAGCATTATTAACTTGAACTGCCACCACAGGGATTTCAGTTGGAAGACTATTCGTTTCAGTACCAGATACTGGAATATTTGATGACACAGAAATAGAAACACCGTCACTAGATGATGAGACTTTTGTGGGCTCCGCTTCAGACACAGCATTTATTGAGGTGGGATCAGCTGCGCTATTCAAAGGTTTGTTTATGTCTACAGAACTTTCTGCATTTACACCACTGCTTTCTACTTCTATTGCAATTCCATCAGTAACAGTATCTAAAGTAACATCACTAACAATATTTACAGAGGAACCTGTACTAGAAGAAACTGAATCAGCTATTTGTCCTTCATTAGAAGTAGCATCACTTGTTAATGTTCCAGTTAAGTTGCCAGTTTCAGGTTTTCCAGTGCTTTGAGACTGATCTGGAGAAATAATACTGACGGTATTAATTGAAGAAGTAATTCCAGCATCGGTGCTTACAGTATTATCAGTATTCATAGAAACGTTGGTAGTAGAAGGGTTGTCACTAATTCCACTTTCAACAACCGATTGAATATTAAAATTTGCAATAGAGTCATTGTTGTTTGAGATGTGTGCAATTGCATCGGCATCAGAAGTCATGGTATTAGAAGACGCTTCAGTGCCGGTCGTAAAGTTATTATTGAACGTTGATAACTCACCACTAGGAGAAGCCGAGATTGAAACACTAGACCCAGTAGATTGAGAATCGATTGAACCCGTGACGGGTGTATCAAGGGAGGAGACGTCGCTAACAGTGCAGGATATAACCAAAGAAGCTTCATCAACATTGGAAACTGCGACTGGTTTATCATTAGATCCTTGGGATCCATTGGAGCTAGCATCAACAGGCGAGTTAGAAGCGGCAGTGGAACCCGAAATAGAAGTATCAATATTACCTTCGGAAGCATTGCTATCGTCCGAGGATATAATAGATTGATCTATTAAACTATTTTCATTTACATCTAAATTAGGAGAACTTGCAGAAACGTTTATGTTCACATTAGCGCCAGATACCACAGGATTCAATATACTAGAAGAATTGTTTACATTGGAGGTGGCATAACCTGAAGGACTGTTACCAGCAGACGTGTTGGAAAGAAGAATATTATTTGTAGATCCTTCAGACACAGCGGGACCCCATACTGCAGTGGGATCAGAAACTTCATGTCCATTGCTATCTACTATTGTTGCTGTAGATTGACCTATAAAACTATTTTCATTTAATCCGATATTAGAAGAGGTTGTATGAGAGTCAATATTTGAATTGGCGTTGACATCCGAATCAGAAGTTTCAGCTCCATTAGCAGTAACGGAATCAATAGCAACTACAACAGTACCATCCACTTGTCCAACATTGTTAGACTCTGATGTAGAACTCTCGTTGCTGTTTGGAACTAAGCCAGCATTTGATGATTCTGTATTCGAGACAGCACTAGGTGAGATTCCAGAGGTTGGTGGTGATGACACGCTAGTATTCGATTCAGGTTTTCCTCCAATGATCCAAGAGGGTACAATGTCTGTTAAGTATTGAGCAATTGCAGTAAGAATAGATTTCTCTTCCCCGATTGCTTGCTTTGCTTCAGGTGCCCAAGGCAAACTTACATTTTGTAATAAAGCTGTATCATTCTCTAATTCAGAAATTTTATTTTCTAAATCAGCCTGCAACTTTTGTATGTGAACAGCGTTTACATGGCTTACTAAATAATTATGAAAACCTGAAGATGAGTTACCTCCTAATAATCTATTATTCACTAATTGTAAGACCGCTTGACGATATTCAGTCCTGGTACTATTAGCGTTCAAACTCAGCTCTTCTTGTATATACTTATTTACGGCCGCGTCTTTTTCCAAATCGGTACTATTTTCAGTTAGACCATATTTCTGATAAATGTAATTTCTCCAAATATCTTCAAAGTCTAAATCTTCCCCAGACTCCGATGAATCTACCAATTTGGTTTTCGATTCTAATGTTGTCTTTTCTAGTTTTTCTATTTGTTTACGTATTTTCTCCTGGCGCTTAAGTTCTTCCTTGGCTTTTTTTGCCGCTCTTTTAAGTTCTTCCTTTGCTAGTTTCTCTTGCTGCTTACGTTGATCCTTTTCCAGCTTCTCTTGAAGTTTGCGTTCTTCTTCTTTAATTTTAGCTTCAAATTCTTCCCTTTTTCTTTGTTCTTTTAGTAATTGTTCTTCTCTTTTACGTTCCTCTTTTGCCCTTTTTGCTTCCAATTTATGCTGCTCTTCAGCATATTTCTTCTGCAGCTTTTCAATTTCTTTTTGTTTTTTTAGTTCAAAAGAATCATTATCTTCATCATCGCTATCATCATCACTTTCATTACTCTCATTTTGCTCTGAATCATCTGTCTCATCTCCTATAGATCTTTTACTGCGTAGCAAGCTTCTCGAAGTGTTTTCATCGGGCAAATATTTCGCGCTCACTATGCACACTAAGGATATCTGTGAAAGTAACAAAATATGTATTATTTTAGAGACGTTTGATTTCCTCGTAACTAACCTCCAAACACAATATAAGGATATAAAACATCATGCTACGATCAATAGGAGCCGAGAATCAATGAAAAATGTTGCGAGAACGAGGAAAATTTATTTCTTTGGAGAGAAGCAGACGAAGTTGCGCGGGTCAGCTAGTAAATTATATACTTTACAAAAAGGCCATCTACTTCATTTTAAATCGACCTTACAATATTGTACAGAAACCACCAGATCGCTGTTATAAGTTAATTGCTCCGCCACATAGGTCATCATTGTTATAATGGAATCAAAAAGGCCTTTTAAAGTTCTATCCCTAACAAGAAACGTTAAAAAACATGTAGTAACACACTACGGAACCAAACACTATGGAAACAGCCCAGTTTGTGACTTACTGTGATTACCTAATATGATTTTGTCTTATAGATTACATTCTTTACAATAATATTGTTTATTATTAAGGAACAAATCGCTAGATAACAGAAAAACTAGATTACCAAGAACCCTCGTTTCAACTCCCAGTTAAATCCCAGTTAAACAAAATGAAATCTCATTAAAAGTGATTTATGATGAGCACTTTGCTAATATAAATCTTATCATTTAAAGTTACTAATACATTTTAGAATTTAAAGAACATTAGAAAAATAATCTAACAATTAATATTCTACACTATGTATGTGTAACTATAGCCTTAAACAAAAATAATTTGAAACACATTTTACTCGAAAAAATAGTAACAACACAAAACAATTTCAAAATGAAGCGACCGATACAGATTTTATTGCAAATCGCTGTCCTATTTTGTTTTCAGAAACCATTGATTAGATTTAAAAGTGTATTCACATGTGTAACATAACTAAAACCACAAAATACAATGAAAAATGTACTTACAAGTAGAAGCAAATATATGATCCTCATTTTGATTTTTCTTAATTTCTCATTGAACGCGAAATTCGTTTAAGTTACACTTTAACAATTGTTTGTGAACTTGTGTTTCGTACGAGCTCGTTCGTTAATATATGTTATGATAATTTGTCGTCCTGTCTTTTTATACTGGGTAAAGTAATTAGCTCAGATAACGTTAGATAACTGCTCCTGCCAAGATAAAGGTACGTTATAAAAGTCTAACCAAACAAAATGTTTTCGCGATGTCTGACTCAGAGCAAATACCCATTATAACATAATAAAAGCAATCTTTCTTGTCTTATATTGTACCGAAACTCGGTATTACGAGTATAGATAGAAACATACAGCGGATGTTTAATGTAGTTTAAACATCCTTACAGGAAACAGATTAATCTTTTGCAAACTTAAGTCTAGTGTTTTCACATGTTCACAACTAAAATATTTACTTTGGCTAAAATTCAACAATATTACTGAAAGTAGTGTCAGGAACTTAAAATCTTTTAAAGTAAAATAATGGCTTGTAATAGTAAAATGGACATTTTCAGAGATAATTTAATCTTTAAATACCTCCGGGTTTAAAGTAAAACCTCAAATTAGCAAAAGCATTAATATGATGTATATGATAGGATAGGAGGGTAGGAAGTCAGTCCCATATTCTTACTGATTACTGTCAAATGTGATCTATTGTGGGGAACTAGCCCCTTGAGGGGGAAGTTACCAAGCTGCCCGTCATCTGTTTCGAAATTTAGTGATGCCCACGGTGCTGTGGTTTTACCACCATAAGTCGTCCGTTGTTTAAAGGCGATAAAATCACATAAACATCTATCACATCTGTTTAGTGTAACTCGAAAAAAAATAGTCATATTATATGACAAAAAATGTTATTACCATGACTGTAAAGTAAAGTAAAGTCAGCTGGTTTATCACAAACTGGCAGAATTTTCTCAAACTGTTATTTTTCTCAATTTTTCATTCTCAATTTAGTTGTCACCATACAGCAAACAGCACTTCGTATGTCATATCACTTACTGTTCATATTCTTTTATTAACCTCCATTCATACACAATTGTACATTTCGTTCTCAATTCGTACACTGATATGGGTTCCGTTTTCAATTTCTTAATTAACCAGAAAGATGTAAAGAATTCGATATCGATAAAATTACGATTAAATTTATCGTAATTTTTTGCCCAATTTATACTAGAGTGACTTTCTAAGTTTCTAAAACATTAACAAGTCCTGAAATGCACATAATTACCTTTAATTGTTTCCGACTCAGTTTCCAACAACTTTGTATTTATATAGTACATATTAAATACACTAATAGGTATTCTCAACTTCGAGAATTTTATTTTTTGTCTTACAAACCTGCTTGAATAATATCATCATTGGCCTCTTACGTCTATTCCAGACGATTTAGTCACTGTTCCGTAGTCATACACTTTGTTTTGTGGCTATGTAAGCCAATTCTAGAGCGACAGGTTCTACCGCATACCCTGCACCTAAAACCACCGGTTTGTGGGTCATTGTTAGCTCTTTGACGCTTCACTCTCCTTTCTGCCAACTTCTGGAACCAGATGTCATGAACTGCGCGCCGTTCGATCACACGCCTTCTCCATTTATCGCGATCTCCGGCGATCCTCTCCCAAGCCATATGGTTTATCTCAAATCAGATCATATCTGTCTTGACGGAATCTTTAAACCACAGTATGGGTCTGCCCTTTTTTGTATGCTAAAGCACCAAGCAAGACACGTCGAGGTAGCCACGAGGAGCCCATACGGTGCACATGCGCATACCATCACAAGCGTTTCTGCTTTAACAGCGCTGTGAGGCTGGGTAACTATACAATTTCTAAGATCCTCTCGTTTTTGATCCTGCCCTTCCATGAGATCTCCAAGATGTGCCGGAAACAACGCATATAAAACGAATTAAGACGACGTCCAAGTCTCAGCGCCGTACAAGAGTATGGATAATACGCATGCCTGGAAAATTATCAGCTTTGTTTTTGTTGTTAAGCATTTATTTTGCCACACTCTTGCACTTAACCTCTCGAACGTGGTAGCCGCCCGATACGATCTTCGCATCGAGGGATAGAATAATAAACTTGAATAATAAACTTATAATTAAATTAGGGCTAAAACTATCAAAGTTGTAACAAGTATTTATATTTTTGCAGAATGAGATTAGATAATTTAGATCTATTACTTAAAATTTCACTAAAAATCCTATTCAGTCTCTCTCAATAAAGGTATTATAAGATCAACTTTGACATAGTGTAGGACGCAATAAAAGCAAGGCAAAATTCGGTTTGTAGATAAATTCAGGCAACATCATGCCATCCGAAGTTTCGAAATAAGCTGATACTGAAAAATACAAGACAAAGACAAATACAAAAATACAAGTGCACGAAGACTACTACAACGTTATCCAAACACTGCATGTTTTACCGTTTTTGGTACCATCTAATCGTTTAAAATCTCAAATGTAATAGTAGGAAGATAAATGTTTTTTTTACCTCAGTAATCGCCAGAAGCACCGCTTTAATAAACATTTTTTAAAAAATCTACGATGAATGGAATTTTAAGGTACACTATAGGAGCTCGAAGAGGTCGCCGTCTCCCGTCCTGTTATAGAACAGAAGCATCAACTGATAAAATATTTATAATGATAAGTTACTGGCACAGAAGTAATTTTGACTAGTTGTTTAAGCGGTCAGCTCGCCGCTTTCTACTGCGATGAGTGTTGAGAGTTCGATAACACTTTGTTTAATCCACAAATTATTGTTCTGAGTCTGGGTATTCTTTGTGTACGTTTCATGAATGTTTGTAAAGTCCCTGCAACAAAGATGTTTGCTAATGCGGAAGTTGTCTTTTAAAACAAAAAAGAAACCGGACAAGTGCGAGTCGGACTCATCCACCGAGGGTTCTGTGCCAATTTGTAGGTACATTTCATAAATAGTTCAGAAATAGAGTCTCGCAATTTTTCTGAACTTTTCCCAAAATTCAGTTTCCAAAACGTATAACTTCTTACATTATTATGTTTTATTAGTGAAATTCTACCTCACCACTAGGCACACATCAAAACAATGTTTTGGTATATTTAATAATGCCATTGTATCTCTCTGTGAATTGCAAAAGAGTGGCCATGAGTTTGTTTGCCCTTTCCTCTCATTTGGCTCAACCCTTTGGAAACGGGCGGTTGTAGATGGGTACAGGCATATCATCGATTTTGTATAAGTTTAATTTTTATTAAATTTATTTGCTTACTATTAGACAAAACAGAGATTGCTGCTATTGTGTGTGTTGATCTATGACTTTAGAGTCTACATAAAAGACGATTTCAAACAATTTTTTTTTTTATGAAATAAAGAGAGTTTGAGTTTTGAGTTCAATATTTGTAGTACAAGACAATGTTATTTGCAAAATTTCACAGTTTTAAATCAACGGGAAATACCCTATGAATTTTGATTCCCCTGAGAGTGTCGAAATATGCGTTTTTTACGTTTACTAAGAAGTTTGATTTTTCTCCAGCTTACAGGAACATACACACTTGAGTATATAGTTTTAATTTCAACTCGATACCTCCTCAATACCACGCGTTCCCGAAATAGAGGGTCTTGACAGACAGTCGGACAACAAGGTGGTCCTATAAGGGTTCCGTTTTTTCCTTAAAAAAACAAATTGTGTGAGACTAGGCACAGTTCAGAGTGCCCTAGTTGGTAACTTCATTTAAATACTTTACAATACAATTCGTACAAACAAAGCTCATACAAAAATTGACACTTTAAATCATAATATTTCGTAAACAGATTGGCACATGAATTGAAAAATCGTTTTCATACGCCTGCGATATTTTTCTATTCAGCAACAGCCCACTCTATGAAATACAATAGTCTAGAGTTGAGATGAGAGTTTGAGATTGTTGTTTGTGAACAACAGCAGATAGAACATTTGTTGAAGAAAAGATAGAAGACGATTCTTATTGTCGGCTTTAGTAAGTAAAATGTTATAAGGCAGGTAGTCATTATTTGAAGGAGGTATTTGAACTGGATCTGAGGTGGTACTCATACGATATATATACGAAATTATAGATATTTTAAAAATAGATATAAATAAAGTTTAATCGCAAGTAGATTTTGTTTTTATCTTGTTTTAAAGTTCGTCAACAGTAAACGTCTCTAACAAAGTTCACATCAACATATCTTCAAAAACTAAAATACACACCAGAAAGGCGCTAAGCAAAGGAAAATACCTATACACTTTTCTAGTACACCTTAGGATAGCTCTCGAAACCCTGCTATTGCTCATTTCCCCCAGAGGAATCTCTGATTTAAGCAGAATATTTGTTTTTCTCACTCTTGGAAATTACGTTGTGCTAACGTAAATAACAATTATCTAATAGAAACTATATTAATATCTATATTTTATTTACCTAATGATAAGAAACATGTTTATGATCCACACTGTTGTGTAACGCTACCTCATAGGTAAAAAAATAAACACATGGAATCTAGGCTCTTTTTATTCCAGTACTATTATGAACCACAAATCAAAGGAATAACAGTGTTCTTTAATGGGGTAAATGATACCTTGTTATATTCGTTGTACAAAATTCAATGTTTAATAAGTCAAAGTTTCTATGTTATAACATTGAACAGTTACAAAAATTAGAAGGTGAAAAACTTTCTTTTGTTTAATTTTACTTAACCCTTCGTCACTTAACCAGTCACTAACTTTCGTTGTTACTACCTGAAGAACACAATCCAACCACCTATTTAGGCCCTCTATTTTATGTACTATTTTTTTTATTCTTTGACACATTTATATACCTTTTGAGACTTTTTGTACTTGTTGGATCTGTTTCAAAACTTTGGACGTTCATTAAAATATAGCGATCCACTGACGCGACATATCGATGTACTGTGTTCGATGCATATACATGAACATAAAATTGATTAAATGCATAACTGACGTCGTTTTCTATTTCAATAATATGTATGATTGCCAGAGTT